TGTGACCCTTCTGTTATGCACCCGTCTAGGGGGGGCAGGTTTGTAACATAAAAAACCCCGAAACAAGTTATTTCCCCGGTCCCCAAACCAAAGGCAAAACTAATCTTGTGATTTAAACAAGGATTTATTTTAACACACAAATTCAAAAACCTATCAAACAAAACACAATCTCTAAACCTAACTTTTTCACAAAACCAAAAACAGGAGAAAGTGAGCACAAAAGAAAATGGCAGTAAACTGCTTCTCAAACAAAAGACTTACTCAACAAGAAAAACACAATTTGTAGAGCTAACGAACGACTAACGAACAAGGCTTTAACAACAATAAAAGTTTGGAGGCCGAGGGACAACGAGCTGCTGCTGTCAGTTTAACACACGTCGCTCTTGCTGAAGATCCCAGCAGGCCTTAAAGAGTTGCGACCAGACTCCGGACCAATGACGGCGGCATCCTCCCTCCAGCTGATCAGCTCCTCCAGCGAATCCCCGATCTCCACCTGCAGCAGCATCAAAGATCCTCACACTCACACACACACACACAAGGCAATAAACACAATACGGCCAGGGGCGTAACACCTTCCACTCAGGGAACCAGTGGGTCAAGGGTATTTTACTTACTCAGATAATCACATTTCTAAGAAATAGTTAAGCACAACGTTAACCACGTTCTGCAAGTCTATTTGACATTATTGATGTCCAAATTCAACCCACAATGCACTGCTTTATGGTTCACTTTTCTTGTTTGGATCACATTTTCATCTACGGTGAACCGAACTCTGATGCACTTGGATGCGAACCAAGACCCCTGTTTTCAAGTGGACCAGAGTTTTGTTTTTTTGTTCCGCACCTGAGTCCATTTAAGCATTCACACCACCCCAAACTATCTGACTAAGTTGTTTCAAACGGACCAAACAGCCCAGGTTTGAATGCTTAGGCTAACACTGTGTGGCCTAACATTTCATAAGAAATATCGTTACACAAATGAACCAATCTATGAAAAACCCTAAAAAAGTATGCAAACATGGTAGAGTGATCGCAGACGATGATTTTCATTATACCTTTTTTTATCCTTGAGAAATCATTGAGGTCAAGCCCTTATTTACAATGATGTAGAGAGTACAATTAAAATGAATAAGAGACAAAAAAGAACAAAGACAAAGTTATTATATTCTTAGATTATAAGACCAGAAGAAAAAGCAGCTAGATGATACCTACCTGCTTGTCATACCAAATGATTAATATATTACAAGATTTGTATTCTCTATGTTTGGCTCAGGCCTGTTAGATGGAAGATTAGTACAACAACCTGAAAAATATCAAATTGTTTGTCTAACTCATGCACACACATAACATCTCAAAAATGCTTTAACAACAGAAATACAGCGACAACATAAAAGGTGCCTGAATTAGCTGATTTAACCCCAGGCAGATGTGTATTTCAATACCTGTTTGCGGTTTCCCATGTTGTGCAATGAAGAGTTGTTCGGATTAACCTTTTTTTGTGGCCAGACTTAAGTTGCAATTCTGGGAACTACAGTTTTTGGCTTTTCCTAGTTGGCCCCTTCGTTACTCTCTGGTTGAATTAAAGCTTTATTCCTTTCGAATTTTCTTGTTCAAAACTGACCAACAATCAACAGTCCCTTGAGTAGACAGAGCTCCCCCAGCCTTCAGCGAGGTGACTACTACCATCCGACATCCCTGATGTCCATCCACCACCATTGGACTGTGTCGCCCCCACAACCACCGCAGGCCTGCTCTGACCTCCACCTCAGCGGCAAGGAAGTGTGGACAACAGGAATGCGAGGAATACAAAAGGAGATATCCTTCCTGCATCTTATCCCATCTCCCCCTATCCCATTTTCTTTTGTAACATAACAATGAGTGAGATCTTTTACCTGCTCTTTTGTTAAGTGTCTCCTGATAACATTTGTTGAATTGGTTCTATACAAATAATGATTGCTTGATTGATTGATAATCTACCCGACATCTACCTATAAAGTTTTACTTACATGGTCACTGTTAGAGCACTTTCTCAATAATTGATTAGAGCATGCCTGTTAGTTGAGTATCAACATTACCTTTACCTACACACATAAAATGCATAGACACACACTCAATCCACAGCGACTCGGAGAGGATAGCTGTCAGATTTACACCAATGACAGAGGTAATAGATGTTTCTCTTTATTTGTCTCACACGCTATCGCACACTCACAGCTTGCGATCCATGCTGCTGTCTGAAGCTGTCTGTCTGTGACGCACAGGATCTAAACACATCATCCTCTAAAAAAAAAAATAGGCCAGGTAAGTTCCCTGCCTAGGTCTGCTGCACCCTAATTCTATGTTTTGCATTAAAATGGCCCTCAGCCACGGTTCCTGTATTTTGAGAGTGTGTTGATTACACACCTCTGTACTTCAAATAGCAGTGTCACATCCAGCTTCTCCTCACCTGTCCTGTATCCTGAGTTACTGTCTCCCTATAGCATGTATTTATAACTTGAGGGCTTGTCAGGACATGCTGCTCTGCTATTATTCTTAGTAATTTGTTTTTAATGTTTCCACATTCAAGAGGTCACCAGCGTTCTGTGCTCTGATTCATCCCCTCTGACATTAGTGCTAAGTGCCTTAGTCCTACTGCTGTAATCAGATCCAGTCACCCAAAACAACCACTCTGGTGCTTTCCCAACCCATCTCATGAATTATAGACAAATAGATGTTCTAGCATGGCTCAAAGTGAAGCAGTGTGTTGGTGTCTATGTGTCTGGTGATGAACTAGCACAGTGACAGCCCGGGGTAGCTTTTCACCTGCAGATAATTAGAAAACCCTTCTGTGTCTGTCTAAAGGCAGGCAGAGATGACCAGGTTAAATTATTGATTGTTTAAGGAAGACCAAGTGATTCATTTCAATTAGAAATACATTCCCAGTGTGAACTTTACTTACAGTGGTAGAAAGTACTTTTACTCATACATTTTAATGAAGTCAAGTTTCTACTGCTGCTTCACTACATTTAAAAGAAAATGCTACAATTAGTTGTTTTCTCCAGATTAAGATTTCATATATGAAACACAATATATTCTACAGAGATGACACATGTATTTGGCTTGAACTTCTTGACGGTTTGTGAAATAGTTCAAATGGCCTTATTCAATGTGCAGCCTTCTTTCCTGTGGCTCACACATACTCGAGAGTAGGTCAAGAAAATACCTGAGTGTTTGTTCAAGGAAAAGAAAGTGACTGGTAAACTATAAAAGTGTCTTTTATTATTTTCTTCTATCAGCCGGTTACTCCGCTCTCTCAACCTTTTTTAGCTTTAAATGTGTTCTGGTCTCAGCTAATCTTCTTCTTACCGTAGTTACTGTTTGAGTGGGCTGTCCATGAACATGTGGCATGACATCCAGGTTAGACTGGAAGATTGCGAGACCATGGCTGCTTTTGTACAGGTGCGGCACAAGAGAGGCTGCTTGAGAATGTAGGTCAAGAAAAAAAATCCAACAGTAAATGCTAACAGCTATTAAAGAAGGGGCAACACATGCATGACCTGTTGCTATGTGTTAACATTTACTTGGCTGTTCACTAATTACATTAGGCTGGGTACATGCTGATGATGTCATGCTATCTTAGTTGCGTTATAGTGTGACTTCTGTGAGGCTGTAGCTGCTGCTGAAGCAGAACGGGCATCATACCACATGTGGAACAGAAACTGACTCTGTGTGGGCTTCTGTGCTATGTTGCGTTCAGCTCATGTGCAGGATATAAATTTGAAAAGCCACAAATAGAGCAACAGGAGTGTAGATTTAGAGCATGTGTGTGCGTGTGCGCCCTGAAAGCACATCCATTTATAATGAGTGGCTGGGAAGCTTTTTATAGGACTCGCCAACCCCTGGCTGAACTACATTAACTCTCTGTCTCTGGCTCTTCTTCTAAAACCATAGTGGGAGTGTTTTTGTTTTTAGTTAATACCTCAGCATGGCCAATGGGATTTTGTCAGGTGGAGAACAACAGTCTGCACTGATAAAAATCCCAAAATCCACCTCCTCAGTGCAGCAGAACCTGTGTGTTCTCATTCTTAGTGTCTTTTTTTTTTTGGCCCGTCAGCGTGCAACAAGTTAATACTGAGGTGTTAATGAGAGTGTGTGTGCTTCTGGCAGTCAGACTCTTAACACTATCATTACGTATATATATTCATGTGTTTCCACATGATATCTGTCTTCCGCTACATTAAATACATTTGGCAAAGTGTGCTTTTTTCACATCCCTTTGCTGACCCACATGTGTCACATGTGCTGACATGAAAGGTGATTCTGTTTTTTTTTGCCACTCAGGGTGTCAGATATTATGTCCATTTTACTTTGGTTGAAGAGAGGAGGTGATTTTGTTTTTAAATTGGTGTCATTTAAATGTGTCAAAGAGGAAGTGGCACATGACACTACATGTTGCTCTGTTTGTTAGGGCAAATATGAAAGGAATGTTGCTTGTGTATGATTCTCTTCACAGTGTAAACACATATGTTTTTTTCTACTTTTCAATTCCCTTTTCTACCCTTCAGAGATTCTCAGAAGTGTCTCAGCAACTGAGCGCCGAAAAAAACAGCCAGTATGGTGTTAAAAAGGCCTTGGGTGCTTCTTCTGCCCTGTCATTAAAGGACCCATGTGATGTTCTAACTGCTTGTGCGTGTGGTGACGTCCTCCTGTGTGGCCTGGCTTCCCTTAGGCCAGTACCAATGAAAGGGCCTTCAGTACCTTAATGCAATAACCTCCACAGCCTATTCCCCCGGATGTAAGAAGGATACAAATCCAGCCAAGACTATTAAATGGAACACAAATTCACAACAACATAAGATGACGCTAAAGGAACCACCTGTAGCATGTCTTTCCTTTTTCCACTTTAGATGTGACCTTCATTTTGCAGTGGAAGTCTGTCGTTTATAGAATCCTAAGGAAATTCCCACTCATATTAAAGAGCAACAAGGACAACACGTTTACAAATCTGGACATAAACTTCAACAATTTTAAATCATTTTCTTTTTTATTGATAATTCTATGAGGTTCACATAACAAACCACATTTTTTTCTTTAAAAAATAACATATTTATACTTAAAACATCTTACTTTACATCTTTATACATAAAGTTGTGTTTCCTTTTGCACAGCAAAGATATGACATTTATGTTTCAGACAACATAACAAACGTCATGTACACAGAGTCAACATAACACTTGAATGACTTCTACAACAGTGCAAAGTAAAAATAAAATGACCAGGTTGTAAGAAAAGCATCCTTACAGGAAAATTAAGGATGCATGTTTAGACCCACTGAATCATTTAGGGGAAAACGTGCGATAAAACTCAATATTATTTTGGAATTTGTAGGAGCACTTAAGCAATTTTTCAAGAGAAAAAACATTAGGTAAACAAGCTCGAGGCTTCAACAAATCCTCTTAAGTAAAATAGATGGAATTAGTGCCGTGCGTCCTAAGGCGCACTGGGATTTTTGTCGGTTCAACCTCTAAACTGTATGCAGTGGCCTCTTCGTTTGTTTCTGTTTACACATTCTTCGAATATCATTCAGTAGACTTATTTTGCCTCAAAGTTTTCTGGGTCCTCTAAATTAGTCGAGGAGGCACAGATTATGGTTAACTCTCTCCAACATAAAGTTGACGCAGGAAATTATATTTTTGGAGACACATTCCCCCAGCAGAACAATACGTCAAAGGTGCAAAGAAATGCCTGAAATAATTCAGGCAACTTCCAGCACCTTTACCTCCTGGAGCCCGTTGGTGAGCGGAGGGGGCTCTGGGTTGCTCTCTATGGAGGATTCACTCCCTGTGCTCTCTCCAGAGAGAAGTCTGGTGACTCTGAGGTCAGCTTTCAGTGTCTGCACATCGTTTCCAATGCACATTTCTCCTAAGTCATTGATGATTTGACACAACTCCTGTTTCCCGTTTGTGACACAATCATCGACAGTGTCAAGAATGTCCTCACACTCAAAGTGCATCGCTTTCTCCTCCTCCTGCTCCCCTACCAAGTCCTCTGTGATTGAGCCCAGCTTGGGCGCGCTCCGGCTGCGCTCCACCGGGGGTTTGTAGTAACATTGTCCGTTCAGCAGCTTCCTAAGGGGGACCAACGGGATGGGCTGTTCCCCTATGAGCTGCTGCTGCTGGTGCCGTGCATCGTCCCTCCGTTTAAGTCTTTTGAACTCAGCCAGCGCCGTGGCTGAGGTCTGGTACAGCAGCAGCGCCATGGCCTTTGCCTTCTCTGGCTTCGACACCAGCACTGCGTGGCAGCGCAGCATCACCGCCTTGTGCTTCATCTCGTGCCTGTAAATCCAGGCGAAAATCTTGGGCAGCCTCGGGTCCGCGACACAATATGTTATCCGGTGCAGCAAGTACAAGTGTCCTGGCCTCCTGGCCTTATCGTCAACATGCACCATCCGGATGCCCTGTGAGCTGATGGTCAGCCTCATCTTGGTGCCGTTCTTACCCATCTCGCTTTTGCCCCAGATCTTGCTCACCGCCACGTCCGTGCAGCCGTCCCCTTTGGACTGGATTGTGGTGGCATTCCCTAGGTAGAGCACAGTGTATGTCGGGTCCTCGCTTGTGATCTTCACCTTTTTCCTCTTTGACTTGAACATGCTGCCCACCCTGTTGAGTGCGCTCTCAGGGCAGGACTTGGCGAAGGAGGTGAGCGCGGAGTAGTTGAGGCTCACCGCATAGCCCTTCTGCTTGGACTGCTTGTCTTCCTCAATTAGGTCGAACTTATTCTTCTTCCAAGGCAGCATTTTATTTCCAGTCAACAGCAACAAAGTCTAATGAGAGAGAAAGAAAATAAAACCTTATATTAGGCTACCACTAAAATCCTAGAAGTGTCAAACGTCCTTTCAAGTCATGTATGAGCTACTCTATGAGAACGGAACGCAAAAAAACACCGTACTTCATCTGTCCATCTTTTAAAGTGCTCTGGCCCATTGTGGTGACCGCCGTCCGGTTTCTCGATGGGACAGTGTACAGTCTGCTGTACAGACACGAGTTTCACGGTTTATATGCAGGGAGAAACCATTTGAGTGTGACTGTAGGGGGGAGGAGGGGACTGAACCAAGTGATAAAAGTCTGTGCCCAATGGAGTCTCTCTGTTTTTGCACGTCGTTCATTCATGGGCATATTCGTTGCTTACATTTCGCTGTGTTCTCCAAAGCTGGTCGAACGAGAAAATAAGACTTAGTAGATCAATCAATGTTTTTCTTTCAACAAAGAAATAAATAACAAAATAACAACTTAGGTCGTAATAAATAATTCCAAATATATGTATAGAAATTGCTGTTAATTTGATATCTACAAAAATAAGCATACTTAATTTACAATTTTCAATAAGACAAAAAAAAAGTTTGTGTCTCATATTTTTTTGTTAAATATACGTTTTTGTTGTTGTTGTTTTTTTGACCCCATAACCTGCAGCCTATTTAAAATAAACAGTTTGGACTTGGATATGTGGAATCTGAGATGAAACCAACATAGTTGCCTCCCAAATTGTGCCAAAAGTGGTCTTATTTATTAAACTTATGTAGGCTCAAGACATGTTTAACATGATATAACGCCTCAAAAGATTTGGGCTTACAATGTCTTGTCAGTTCATTTTGCTGGTTCATTTGGTAAAGAAAGGTGGCTGAGCTTTCTTTATTGGCTGATGTATGCTGCCCTCTTGCGGTTCACATCAGTCCATGTTGTTGTATTTGTGTTAAAATGCGTGATAAATTAATCATTTATTTGTATACTTAATTTTAACTTGTGATTTTCAATAAACCTAAAAATGACATTTATGTGGACTGTTCATAAAATGTAGGCTATCATAAAAAGGTCTGGCATGTGGAACCAATTAGTATTGCCCTATTTTCTTCAGGGCACCTTTGAGCGTTGGACAGAACCTGGACTGAACCATCACTTCAACTTAAATAATGATGTTAAATCAGCTTTGACTTCGACATTTTTAACGATTGCTCAATCAGAAAAGTTACACGACTGATTCAAGAACTTACACTGATTATGCTTTTTTTCAAAACGTCCCTAGTGTGTCAGGTTGACTCCTCCATCTGAGACATGCGATTGGTTTGTCCCACTTCCGGTACTTACGTCAACAACGTATCGCCCAGGCGTGCTGCACATGTAGGGCAGTGGTCTGTGGTAGGTATTTTTCTTGTTGCAGTGTGTCTCGACGTTGTTTTAGTCGGATTACAACATCTGCATTAGTATGGGGAAGAAGAAAACAGGCGGAGGAGCCGGACTGGGCAGATCTCTGATAAAGGAGAGACTCCATGCAGGCCGAGGGAAGAAGAGAGGCGACTCGTGGGTGAGATATGGAAACAACATGTTTAAACTAATCATACAAGTTTGACTGTTCATGATTTATTATCAAGCTCACTGTTGACCCTGTTTGTAGGCCTTACTGTCAATTAACTACTCGACAAAGTAGAGCCAAAGTGCTGACAACGCTGTGGTGTAAAGAGCGGAACACAGAGGGAGCTTGGGCAGCCTGCATTGCTCTAGCTTCATGGGCGGTTCTTAGACAGGGGCCAACAGGGGCCAGTGCCCCTGTAACACTGAGCTAGGTCCCCCCCCTGTGGCCACCCCTCCAAAAGGAAGAGCCCCCACCCCCTCTAATAACACATGCACAGTATTTGACTCAACAACAGGACTCACAATCTAGTATTAAATTCTGTTACTGAAACAAGTATAAATCATGGTATTTAATGATGTGCGCTGTTATTTGGCATAAATATATATCTTTTAAAGCGATCATCTTTGTCTATTTTTTCACCTGGGTTTAACGTTCCCCCTCAGACAAAACAACTGGCCCCAGTTTGGCCCCCCTCAGTTAAAGTGGTCTAGAACCGCCACTGTCCAGCTTGTTAAAAGTGTTCGAGCCGCCGGAAGGGCGTCTGTCTCTCTTTCCCTCCCAAGACGATATATTTTCTGTGTTCTGTGATATCTGTCATTTTGATTTGTGGTTTAATTCTTCATTGCACTGCTATATGTATTCAACGGTATTTTTTGTATGTCTTTTGTAACTGGATCAATCTGTTTTCAGCTTTCCATGATTCACCCTGTTTTGGCATTACTCTTGACAATACTTATATCATCAATTGGCTATTAAAATATTTACTTTCTATGCCAGCCACAACGAGCATTTGTTGTGTGTTTATAATTATGTAATTAAAGCATTGTGGACGACTTGCTTGGTTTCTTTTTCAGAGGAAAAATAAGCTTGATTGTCGTTTTAGTTGTATTCCTCCAGGAGGCACCAGAGGGGTTTTTTTGTAAACAGAACTTATTATGATCTTGTTGAAAAAAAGTCCATCCAAATGACCATTCTGAGAATTCTAATGTAATTCTCATGTTACCACTGTTTCATATGCACAGATCCACACCAGTGAGCTGAACGATGGCTACGACTGGGGACGGCTGAACCTGCAGTCAGTGACAGAACAGACGTCAATGGACGACTTTCTTGCCACTGCTGAATTGGCAGGAACAGAGTTTGTTGCAGGTAATTCAAATCTTACACCCCTTATGTGTAGTTCTTTGGCTGTATGTTAAATTCAGCTATGTCTTGGCCACTTTGTTACTTAGCAAGTCTGAGAAGGTACACTGATAGCTTCAATTGTCCTTCTGTCACCATTTTTTGTGTGTAACAGTCATCTCTTGAACTGAAACCAGATTGTTTGTTGTGTATTTTGGTATGGTTAATGACGCTGACATCTGTAACTTAGTAGATATAAAATGATTTTCTGTCAGGTTCAAAGTGTGCATCACTTTAAGTGCTTAACACATTATATAAATATTTTTCATGTGTTCTGAATGAAGTTGAGATATGGACAGCATGTCTGAGGACACTAACTAAACGAGATCAACACTTGAAGTTCACTTGTTGCAGAAAAGTTAATATCGTACTCAACTTGGAAAAAAAAGTGTTGTAAACTTAGCTCAGCCGTTATTACATCTTTGTGCATTCATATTGATTCTGTAATGTCAACATATTGGAGTCCCAGTCTGAATTCATATTGTGTTACAGCATTGTGGAACCAGGAGGTGTAGAGACACAGCGGGAGCTCCACATGCACACACACACACACACACACACACACACACACACACACACACACACACACACACACACACACACACACACACACACACACACACACACACACACACACACACACACACACACACACACAACACACACGGCGCAGTTCTCCCCCGCCGTCTCGTCCCTGTTACGCCTCTGTTTCTACCTCCGAAGACAGTACAGGGAGGGGATCACTTCATCCCCCCCATTACGCCTCTGTGACATTCACAATAAAGGCAAGATGTCAGAGGCGTGTAAATAGAAGAGGGTGTCTGAAAATGGCTAAATCAAACACAATATGTACACCTTTTGAGTTATACATACAGTAGATAGATACTTCTGGTTGATACCCATGTCTTTTGATTCCTCTTCTGTCTCTCATTGCATCTTGTTTTGTTTTCTTAGAGAAACTCAACATCAAGTTTGTGCCAGCTGAAGCTAGAGCTGGCTTATTAACAAAAGAAGAGAGAACCAGGCTGAAAAAGCTGCATGAAGAAAACAAGCACTTCCTCAGAATTCCTCGCCGGTAAAGAGAAAAGATCTAGTTCATTTTATGAAGGAACAATTCTTAAGTGTTTTGAATGAATTGTTCTGAATTTGTGATCTCTCTCTCTCTCTCCTAAATTTTAGCCCCCACTGGGATGAAAGCACCAGCCCAGAAGCGCTTCAGCAAGCAGAGAAAGACAGCTTCTTGGAGTGGAGACGAGTGCTTGCCGAGTGAGTAATTGTTTGGAAAGTTGTTTACAAATTCAAGAATAGCATTTGTCCAGAGGTCAGTTTTATCTAATCTAATTGTGAGTATTATCTCTAAAGCCTGGAAGAAGAACAGAAGTTAATTCTCACCCCCTTCGAGAGGAACCTGGAGTTCTGGAGACAGCTCTGGAGAGTCATCGAGAGGAGGTGAAAACAAACGCTGCAAAATGTGCATCTCATAATAAAGAATGTTTTCACATAATTTGGAGAACTGAAGCAAAAACTGTTGTTGTGTTTCTTTTGTAGTGACGTCGTCGTTCAAATTGTCGATGCAAGAAATCCATTGTTGTTTCGATGTCCTGACCTGGTCAGTAAATAAGGCGGAGTTGCTTTAGTTGGAAAAGAAACATGCCTGTTTTTTCTCATAATTTACTATCTCTGCAAACTTAATGTTCTTTTTTTCTTATGGTGTAATCATCTTTCTCCTCGAGTCCAACAAAAATATTCCATAAAAACATTATTATGTATGCATTTGTATTTTGTGTTGCCAGGAGTTGTATGTAAAGGAAGTGTCAGAGCATAAGGTGAACATGCTGTTGGTGAACAAGGCCGACCTCCTGACCAGAGAGCAAAGGCGAGCGTGGGCCAGACACTTCCAGAAAGAGGGGTTAAGGGCTGTTTTCTGGTCTGCATTGGCTGAGGGCGACAGACTGGATGCAGAGGAAAAGGTGAGCATGACGAGGTTTTAGCAGCTGTACCCAGAACAATGCACACATTCATGTATTTCTCGGTTGAAGATAATTGTGAGGATCCAGATTCTCTCACCATGAGGAGGTGGATTTTATGAGCTTGTCATTTCAGATTTTTTTTGGGGGGAAGAAATGCTTGTGAATTGTCTTCATCTTCAGTCTTGCTGCCTTCCGAACGTAGTAACACAACATCTCTGCTCTACAGGGCATGGAAGTGGAGGTTGAGGGTGAGGGTGAGGAGTGTGAAAACAGTGACCCAGAAGATGAAGGACTGCCGGACAATGAAGACATCACGACTGAAAAAGGGCAGATATAGAGGCTGAGGAGAATGAGGACAGTAGTACAGAAGAAGAGCAGCGGGAAAGGATAACTGTAGATGAGAAGGAATGGCACACCTGCTCAGAAGATGAGGGTGAAGAAGAGGCGGAGGCTGCTGGGTCATCCAGTGAATCCTCCTTCCATAACTC